CAGAGGCGAGGCTGCCGGACACTGGCGCCACCGGGCCCTCTGACCACCACCAGTAGGCAACGGGTGAAGTGTCTTGCCCAAGGACACAACAACCGAGGCTGTCGAAGCCGGGGCTCAAACCGGCAACCTTCCAATTACAAGGTGACCTCCCAACACTTGAGCCACGATCGCCCCTTAACGGTGAATAAGGAGGTGCCAAGAAGAAGGAAAAGAGGGAGACCACAGCAAAGATTCATTGATGTAGTGAGGGAGGACAATGCAGAGAGTTGGTGTGACAGAGGAGCATGGTAGTAACATGGAGAGATGGAGGCTGATGACCCTCTCCGGGTCTCTTAAAGGGAGCAGCTGAAAGAAGAAGAAGAAAATGTCACTGCTCAAAAGGTCCTAATGAGATGGGTTGTGAAGTTTAAAAACAACCTGGTGTTGTCATCCAAAAAGTGATTGGAAAATTGGAAATTTCACAGCCTTAAAGTGGGCAGAGGAAAAGTGTGTATAAGGGCTTTTTTTGTTACTTTTATGGTGAATATGTAAAACACCCTGTAAAGGTTGAAGATTTTCATAGTGCTTAACTCCTCCAACAAGTGACACAAGTCATTTGGGGATGAAAAAAGAAAGAGAAAACAAGAAATTTAAATTACCCCCCATCATCATCATCATCATCATCATCATCAATGACACAACCTTGAGGAAAACCCAGAACCCCCAAAATAACAACCATAAGCTGCTCCAGTGTTGGTGCTCACTTTCAAACTGTGTGTGAACTGAAATAAAGGTTAAATGTTCTAAATAGTGTTATTACCATTTTTTGTGACACTAATGACCGGCACTTAACTCCACAGCTGAAGGTAACTCCCAGGCACAGATTTCAGTTTCAGCAACATTTTTTTTTCTGCCTAATTTTCAGACACAGATTTAAAACCCATCAAGAACTAGAACTAAATCAAAGAAAATGAGTACAGGTGTAGAATTTTCCTGTAACTTTTTCAGGTACTGTTTAGAGAAATAAAATGCAGTATTGTTTGGAGTCATCTGCTAGCAATAAGACACCAAATGATCTGTGATACAGAAAATTTGTTTTTATTTTTTCCCGTATTCATTAAACAGCCATGTGTCACATGAGGTCTAATTCTTTTTTTAATGCTCTTTTTTTCCCTTTTTCCTCACAACTTGACTAAAATGAATCAAGATGTGTCGTGCAGCTACTTTGCTTGCTTGTGAATTTTGTGTTTTTAAAGATATATTGCATTTGTACATGTTGGAAGCATATATAATCTAATACAATCCAGATTCTTTCCCTTTAAGTTGGTTGTTCTCATAAAACTTTGCGATTTGAGAAGCTGTAAAATCCTTGTGACCGTTTACTGTGGTTTAGCAGCAGGCTTCCTGCGGTCAATTGTGTAGATGCTAGAAAAAACTTCCTCGTTTGCGAGAGAGAGAGAGAAAGAAAGAACCGTGGATTAAGTTTCTCAACATATGCATTATACATCTGGTGTCACCACCAGGGCAGTGATTTGACTAGACTGCAGCAAATGACTTGGATTTATCAGCAGAAGAACAGAGTTTAGCAGTTAGCTGCCAGACAGTCAAGCAGATATCAAGTATCACTAGAGGTTCCTCGGGACAGACTAATTGTGACTTTTGCAAAAAAAAATTGCATGTGATGTGTGTTTCACGTTTTCAGCAAAGCTCCAGTGCAGCTAGGGTTGAGGTTGGAGGGTGGATATGTGGCAGATGGTTTCCCAGAAAGTGTTGCATGGCCATCAAAGAGTCATGTTTAGGTTTGAAATTCTCCTATGAAAGAAAAATAATGGATGAGTGAATAAAGTTTTGGCACAGGGTGTTGCAGGGTGTATGTTTGGGAGTTCATCCAACAGTCAGGACAAAAGTTTATCATGACTTTTTATAAATCTGGCTGGAAAAAGAAAGGAATGGAGACAGTATAGAGACATTTCAAAGAAATGGGACATATTATTCATCATGACTAAAACGAAATGGATTCACAAAAAAAGCTTTCGTCTGCTGCTGTGTCTGTGTGATGCACAGACATACGTGTTTCCTCTTTGTGCTGAAGAAAAAAGGTTTTACTGCTGTTAAATTTGCCAGACTGAGCAGTTATCAAACACTCTTGGCTGGGCACGATAGCACTTCCAGTTGTTATATGAGCAGCAGCACTGGATTGTGCAACAGAACCAGCAACTCTAAATGCTGAACTCCTCCTCCTCGTCATCATCATCGCCGTCGTCTCACAGAGCGCATCTGCTGCAGAGCGTTATGAGTTTACACGGATACACTGAAACTTAGCTTTTCCTCACTGCTCACGGAGTATCCTTCAGACATAAATGAAGGATAACTGAGTCAAAGACAACCTCGTTATAACAGTCGCTTTGTCGCCGTTTCCTTTAACCGTGTGCACAATGGGATTGCGCGTGTTTGGCACAACGCTTTACGCATACTCCTGGGTCTATTTATTTGTTTTCACCCTGCAGGCTGCTCAGTCTCAAAGGAATCCGGGAACACAGCAAGGGAATGACCAAAGAGGGGCCCTCCGGCAGACGCTACAGTGGTCACACAACGGCAAGATATTTAGCATTCTAAGCCAAGGGTCTGAGTATCAGCCGGCCAGACGCAGGGGCGCAACGCAGGAGCGAGTGCAGGAGCGACCTGTCACAATCATCCGGGATGCGGACACCCAGAGACAACCGGTGGCCCAGCAGCAGCCTCCCCGGCCGGCCTCCAACCCGCAGGGCCAGCGCAGCCTCCCGCTGCCGATCCAGAGGCTCGTGAGAGGCCAGGAACACCGCCAGCATCACCAAGCGCGTCCCGGTGAGCGCACAGGGACGCAGAGGAGCCGGAGAGTAAATGATACCCAAGAGCAGGTCGATGTCAGGAGAGAAGACATGATGGTGGGAGACGATCCATACGATCCCTACAAGTCCATTGACACCGATAATCCATATTACAATTACTATGACGTTTACGAGAGACCAAGGGAGAGAGCGAGACCCGGATATGGCACAAGGTATCATCAGTACGGTAAGAATGGGAAAAGTGCCCTTAAGACATTTGAATTAGCAGAAAGATAGTTGTTAAACACAGAGTGGAGCAGGGAACTATATGAATAGCTACTATATCAAAATATTAACATTAAAACATAAGATGGAAGCATGTTTCATATCAAAAACAGTCACTCAAGTAACCAGTTTGTCAATTAGTGCCTCTTTTGCCTCTAAATTTCAGCATTTTTTGCTTTTTATGTGTGAAAAATTTCCTACTTGTTGATCTGTTTTTATTGCATTATAATGGAGATTATGTGTCATCATTATGTGGTGTATTGTAGGTCTCCCTGATCTGGTTCCTGACCCATACTACATCCAAGCCTCGGCCTACGTCCAGAGAGTCCCGATGTACAACCTGAGATGTGCGGCTGAAGAAAATTGTTTGTCAAGGTAGACTGCTGTCAGGACTGGTCCACGAGGAGAAAAAAAAAAGTGAAAGAAAAAAGCGCACCCGCTTTTGAGTGTGATTCAGAGAGTTCTCAGCCATAACAACCACTTTAAAGTGTTTGCGGGTGAAAGCTGCCCAGTGGGAGCATGAGATGAGGTAAAATTAACCAAATCCTGCCGCTGATGGTGCAGAGGGGGTGGTGTGGAGGATTTCTGTAAAAGTTTAATCATAGCCTCCTCTGGGAGAGAAAGCCTGAATGGTAAACACATTATTGAAAACTAACCCAAACAACCACTTTGCCTTTTAAAAAAAAAATTCCACCCACCATTTACACATGAACTGGCTCAACTCAGAAGAGGGTATGTAGCAGGGAAAACAAATCTTAGTGACATCACTGTGTCCACCTATAATAGTGTTTTTGGGGGGGTTTAAAATCTTTTTATCTTTGTATCCTGTCTACAGTTCCGCCTATAGAGCACGAGACTACGATAGCCGCATGCTGCTGAGGTTTCCTCAGAAAGTCAAGAACCAGGGCACCGCAGACTTCCTCCCCAACAGGCCACGTTACTCCTGGGAGTGGCACAGCTGTCACCAGTGAGTATAATGTCATGCCAGTGCTGTCCACCTCATCGTCACTCAGACAAAGAGTCTCTGTGACATGTCGTTGCATTAAACTGACACCCCAAACTGACTTTATGTGCTCCTTTTTGTCTCCACGAGACAATTGTTAAGGTGTCTGCACTGCAGTTTTTCCAGGTATATGAGGTTTCCATAAACCCAAAGAACCAAAAAAAAAGAAAAAGACACACATGTATAGAAAAGCTTGAGAGCTTGAGATGATTGTTTCTCCAGATACTGCGGG